CAGATGCACACACACATACACACACATACACACACGTGGACATTTGAATCTATTTGTGCTTTGATATCCATTTAAACACATGTAGCATAGAGACACTACAGCCACACACATACACACACGCCTAAACACCTACACACCTACACACACCTCACTCCAACCTTTCTCTATGAGTCACTGGGTTTAATGTTTCTGGAGCGTGGAATCCAATCAGACTCTGGTCTAACATGTCAGCCACTGAGCCGTGGTGTGGGAGCATGTACACGTGTGCACAAGCATACACACACTTGTGCCCACATAAATACGCTTGTCGCAAAACCTTACCAGGTGTGCTAGCGGGAGCAAGCTAAAGATCACAGATCAGCTCTAGCAACCACATAGACATGGAAATAAAACATTTACTTCAGTTTAGAAAATGCTGTATTTAACCAGACATAGAAACACACTCATTCTACAATCAGCTTAAAACAGACACTAACACCTGAAGGCATTTTAGTCCAGAGTAGGCTTAATGGGCCATACAGTAGACAAGCGACATGGTCATCTTCTCTATGAATTATCAATATGTATGCCTTATCTTTCATATGAGAGCATCAATAAAAAACAAATTCGTGTTGAGTCAAGCATGCCTTGTACTGTCAGATACACAAGGGTAATTGCAAACAAATCACCATCTATATTCATGAGGATTGGTGGGAGAAAAAAATTAAAATTCCAAAAGAGGAGGGAAGATTTCTGTTCAATTATTCACTATTCATTAAAATACAAGCCCAAACTGCATCCAACACTTCAGTGCGTGTTTTCATCAGTGCTGTGCAGTGTGAGTACCCAGTACCTCAAAACATTATTTTCACATGGAGCTGGGCAGGGCAGCAGACTGAGAAGATTCCAATAGTTCTGCAGGTTTAAGGGAAACTTGAGACCGGTGTTGTTGCATGACCTGTCACTTCCATTCTAAAACTTAACCAGATACAGCAGGTTCCCCCTCACCAAAACAAAGGCAAAATGTCATGCAGTCAGAAAAAAACCCTCACTGTATTTACATTCTACTATTTTATCCGAAGCTAAATTCCATTTTCAGCAAAAATGCTCTTCTAGTATCAAATACAAAGAGGGACTGCAGCAGAGGAGAGATGGTGTATTTACCCTATTTCTGCAAATTATTATTACTTTTTGTCAGTTTGGTCATTGGAAGATAATCCTCTTCATGCACAGTGACAACTGATGAATTGAAACTAATGGTGCAGTGCAACATTGTCTCCTAAACAGCAAACAAGCTCTCTGTAAGGTCTCACTAATGATGGCTGACCCACAGGAGATTAACAGGAAGTACATTTTTAAGGTAAAATCACTATGCAATTACTTGATAGCAGCCCCTTTTAGTGGTACAAGTGAACAAAATTACACGGTGCCAATTTTAAATTGTATAAAAGTAATGTTAAAATTACTGGGCATATAAATAAAAAAACCTGACATCATAAATGCACAAATTTCACATCAT